AAGTGAACAGCTTTTTTTTCTCATAGGGTAAGTTAACTCAAGATATGGGGAGTAACTGTGGTGTCAAGTTGAAAATATAATTAATGAAAGATAATTCTTAAATATTGATATAAATACATAGTAAAGAAAAAATTTGAAGAGGGAATTAGAAAATAATATCTAAAGTACAATCAAATATTATTTGTTAAATACAAATTTTATATAAACTTCAAAATTTTACCTCTATTTTTATTTGAAAAAATATTAAAAACTTATTGTCATTTATATCGATTACCTAAGAAAAAAAAATATTTAAAATGTTTGGAAAAAACAATCATATATTTTTATGACCGGATTTGAATATTTTTTTATTTTTGAAATAAATGGTATTTTACCAAATGACTCAAAAATTCCCACTGTAAAATAACAGGTATTTTAAAATTTTTGTTCAGGTATTTTAAAATTCTTTCCGTTTAGAATTAAGATAGGTCATACATACACATGCAGGGACATTTTATAAATAAATTGCTCTTGTTTACCTGCTAATAAAATATGAAAAAAGAGCACAGCAAAATTTTTGAAGCACTCAATATAACATGTTTGAAATAGTTTTAAAATAATTATTTAAAAAAAATTTATTGGAAGTAGGTACATACATATTTATTTATAATAACTTAAAAACTAACTGAAATTATTTGAAACAATTTTATAAGTAACGTATAAATAACCGAAATGAGATATTTCAAATTGTTGAAATGTGTCAACCTATATTACTTTTACTAACATTTTTGTTAGCCGACACTACTCAACTTACCTTATTGGGAAATACAAAATGTGCATAAAAAATCATACATCCTTCCTCATTAACATTTGAAACCATACTGAAATATGAATTTGAAATTTTTTTTCATTTTTTCTTTCTTCGTACCTTTCTTTCTTTTTCGTGCAATAGAATTTAAATGGGAAGCTTTTTGAAAAATGTGTATAATATCCTGAAATTTTTTAAAATATTAATCTCTTTTTTACTTAAAAAAAAAGAAAAAAATAATAAAAAATATGACACGATCAGTGTCATTTAAAGAAATAAAGTTGGGTCAAACCAATGGTTTGTATTGTAGCACTTTTCCCTTCAACAAGTGAAAATACTGCTTTTAAAAATCTATGTATATCCACCACACTATTAAAATTATTTTCATTCATAAACGAAACTATTTCTAGGATTGCATATATTTAGGATGAACGATTTATGCAGTCTTTGAAATAGATAAAAATTAATATAAAGAGGGGTTAACATAATGCTCGATTTTAAGAATTAATTGTGTGAGTTAAGAAAAGTAATTATATTTTTTAATGTCATGGAATTTACCGTTAGCTTTTTGCGTTTATAGAAATTTGAAAAAGCTTGAGGTTTCGGAAATATAAGGTGTCAAAAATTCAAATTTTACGAATTTCAAGAGGCGATAACTTGAGAGGGGGTAGAGATGGAAAAAAATTTTCTTCTAACGAAATAAACTATTTGTTAATGTCTAAAAGCTCCTAAAATTTCAAGCTTCTGCAGGCTAGGGTATAGGAGAAAAACGGTTTAACTAAGGTTTAACTATAGTATACCGCGCTAGGGAAAGCCAGCCGCTGCCTTTCTGCGTTTGCAAAATTTCAAAAATGCTTATGGTTTCATTGCAACAAATAGTTAAAATGGGCCATTTTTAGGGCTTTGGGGGGGTATAACTTCTAGAGGGGGGGAGATAGATAAAAATTTTGTTCTACGAAAATAAGTTTCTAGTAAAGATCTATGCACGTATTAAATTTCAGCTTTCTATCTTTAAGAATGTAGAAGTTTTGTAAACAGACACACGGACAGACGGACGGACGGACGGACGGACAGAGTGAAACTAATAAGCACTTTTTTTCAAAAAATTTTTGGAAAAGTGCTAAAAAACTAACAACGAAGCCAAAAATTCGTAATATTTCGTAAAAAAAATTGAGTATTGGGACTTGTTAGATATAAAGACATTAGGTTGACGTATGTCTATCTTGTGGTGATTACAACTTGACCTAAATTTTTTTTGTGCTTTTGTTTTTCCACTAAGTTACTTTGTGCTGTAAACCCATAAATTTATCATGCTATATCTCATAACTTTGTTGTGAACGAAAGCACTCTCTGCATGAATACCAGTTATAAACTTTGTTAAGAAAATTTATAATTAAAAAACTCTTTTATAGTTCATTAGAAAACTATTAAATGTTGTTGTAGATTTCGGAAAAATTTATATGAGAAATGAGAACACAATTGACATCTGTCAGTTTTTTTGCTAATATCTACATATGCAGTTATGGTTATCACAAAAATTCCATTAGAATTTTTACTATTCTTGTTGCCATAAATAGAATCAGAATTTTTAACAAATTTTGCACGTCGAATGTGAAATAAATTATTTTTGAAGAGATGTTTCTTTGTCTGTCAGTCTGTTGTTAGATGTTCAGTTGGCTGTCTGTTTATTATATTCCAAGTTTTGTAAAAAAATTGTCACGAAAACTTATATGTGAGTTTACTTCGAGGATGATTATATCAACCTAGCTTTTTGCGTTTATAGAAATTTGAAAAAGCCTGCGGTTTCGGAAATATATGGTGTCAAAATACTAAATTTTACAAATTTCAAGAAGCGACAACTTGAGAGTCTAAAAGCTGCTAAAATTTCAGGCTCCCACAACCTGGGGTCTAGAGGTAAATTTGAACGGCCATTTTGTTTTTTTAAAGTTTAACTATAGTATGACGCGATAGGAGAAGCAAGCCATTGCCTTTGTGTGTTTACAATACATTAAAAATGCTTATGGTTTCACTGCAATAAATAGTTAACAAATGGCATTTTTAGAGATTTGGTGAGGTATAACTTCTAGAGGGGGGGAAGTAAAATTTTTCTTCTCCGGAAATAAGTTTCTAGTAAAGATCTATGAGCATATTAAATTTCAGGACGGACAGAGTAAAACTAATAATCACTTTTTTCAAAAATTTTTTGGAAAAGTACTAAAAAAAAAAAAAATAAATGCTATACGTATTTAGAAAATCTTTTTTTTTCACTTTAAATCAGCTTAACTGTTCAAAAAATTAATTTTATATTAGAAAAGTACATTTTTGAATTTAGCGCGAAATATTTATTTGTAAAACATCAAATTTAAAAGTAAATTAATAATTTTAAATGCTTCGTGTCACCACTGCGCATTGTAGAATATGTGTATATGTATATGTATTTTAAACTCATATGTGCCTATATATGCCTATAATATTTACAAAATTTTTGAATTAGTGGAAGTGAATATGTTATTACATACATCCATATAATATAACATATGTGTATATATATATATATATATGTGTATGTATATGTATTCTTAAATGTATGTATATTCGAATAAACGGATTTCGTCTGTAAAAACAAAACAATAAAACCGATAATGTTCAAAGAAACAGTAAAAAAAAGTTGATTTGTGAAAACTTTATAATTTGTTTGATCTTATTATTTTAATATCCGATATGTTGTAATTTCTTCATAATGGTGGAAAAAAATTTCTTGTTCTGGTATAGGGCTAAAAATTTTCAGAATCTTAAAAATCTGTGGTAAAAAAATCTGATGTGACCAGCACATAACCGACCGCAACGTGTATTTTCTAGTTGAGTGAATGTGTTACAGAATATTATAAAAATATCTGTTAAATATTTATTTCCAATTTTTAGGACATTAGTAAGCTTATAGTTGACATACCTAGAAAAATTTAAATTTGGCTCTTAGTAGAGTGCTTTGTCTCCGAATTCCCTGAAATGCTCGCCAGTTAGTTTCAGTATCAACCAGAACTCAAATATCAAATTTCAAGCAATTCCATCGATTCGTTCCGTAGATATGGTGAAAAATATAAAATCGGCCCACATATCAGTTTTCGACGCCTGATCTTTCCAAAAAATTTATATGTTCATTGTTTTAATACAGAGAATTTAAATATTAAATTTCAATGAAATTGGTTGATTATTTCTCTTTATAAACGAAAAAATGTATATTTGGCCCGATTTTTTCCAAAAGTTAGGAGGTTTCGCGGACAGTCGAGTTGAGCATATATATGAAATTTCAAGTAAATCGGTTGAATGTTTTCTTCAAAATGTTCAAAAATGTAAAACAGGCCCGCTAAAAAGTGCAGTTCCCGACAGTTGATTGAAATTTCAGTTGATGAAATTTTATATGTAAGTGGAAATACACTTACATATAAAATTTCATCAAAATCGGTTCAGCCGAACTTGAGATATCGACAGACCGACAGGTTGCTAAAAATAGTTTATTTACTAGCTATTGTTTACACAATACGGTCGGTAAAAATATATTACTCGAAGGTACTTGTGAACGCGGAAACTTAATCAAGATAATTATTGGACCTAAAAAATGTTGAGAAGAAATTTACATACTCTTTGTACATACATATTGTCTTTGAAATAGCTTAATGGTCTTTTACGAATTTTCGATGTATTATATTCGAAATTTCAACTCTTACAACACAATAAATTTTCAATAATTTTTTATTTGTTTTTATTGTCTTCCTAATTATTTTATACATATACATTATGCTTAATTGAAATTATATAAAATTTATGCATTTTATGCTTAAATATCACAGAAGTTTTAAGTTATCTGAATAATTTTTTCAGGGAAAATTAAACTCACATACAAATGGTCTTGAATTTTGAATTTTGAAATGAAATTGAGAAATTTAACCCATTCATTTTCTCTACTGAAGTGAAAGAGAACATCGCAATTAGGCTTAGTTATTTTATTGTTTTATGTGAAGGTATGCCTATGCCTTAAAATGATATTTACTATTCGAGTTCAAATAAGAATAGAAAAAGCGGATTAAGGAAAGTTTATTTTCTCTATTTGTTGATTAACCAGCAGAAAATTTTAAGTTTTAGCTATAGATTAAACAAATAAATAAACTAATTTTTTAAAATAAAAGTAAATTAATTGGGGTTTTTTTTATATTAGGTTGGAAGATCATCTGAATCCCCAATAGACTTTGTAGTAATGGATACTTTGCCCGGCGATAAAAAAGATGCAAAAGTAATGCAAAGTACAATATCACGTTTTGCATGTAGAATATTAGTCAACAGATGTGAAGCATCTAAAGCAAGAATATATGCAGCAGGTTTTGATTCTAGCAGAAATATATTTTTAGGTGTAAGTAATAAATATCCTTCATCATGTACATATTTAATTTGATTCTTTCTATTGTTTGTGGTCTGAATCATATTTCAATTCCAAAAATTTTAATCTTTTAATTAATACGCAACTTATAAAACCGTGCTCTTCATAATTTAAATTAATTTTCTAGGAAAAAGCTACAAAATGGCAAGATAATGTTGAAATAGATGGTCTTACCACAAACGGTGTGTTAATTATGCATCCAAAAGGTGATTTCTGTGGAGGTAACGCTAAATGTGGTTTATGGCGTGAATGTTCTGTCGGTGGTGATGTATTTGGCCTTAGAGAATCAAGATCTGCACAACAAAAAGGACAACCAGTAAGTATACAATTTTCTATTTACGTGAAATTTGTATTTCGAGAAAAAAAAATAAGTAAATATTTTTTTTTAATAATTATTTGCTTTTATTTTTAGATATATGAAGAATCAAATGTTCTGCAAGATGGCACATTAATTGATTTATGTGGTGCTACATTGTTATGGAGATCAGCTGAAGGATTAGTGCACACACCTGTAATTATGCACCGGCTTTTAAAATTTTATTCATATTTTTAATTTTTCTGTTGTTAGTCTTAAACATAACTATTCTTTTTACATTTTTCATATCATTTTAAAGACAAAACGTGATTTGGAAAAATTAATTGATGATATAAATGCTGGAAGGCCTCAATGTCCGGTTGGCCTAAATACTTTAGTAATACCACGTAAAGTCAGTTTAGGTGAACAATGTAATCAACCTTATGTTTATCTTAATTGTGGACATGTACAAGGTAAAATAAAATAATTATGTAAGAAATCGTAAATTATAATTTAAGTTTTTGAATAATTATAATAAAATTATAATTTAAGTTTTTCAAATTAAAACTGTTGTACAATATAAACTTGTTTTTATTTTTTCCTATTAGGTCAACATGAGTGGGGTCAAGATAAATCGACAGGAGCTAGAAGATGTCCAATGTGCTTAGAATTAGGTCCAGCTGTAACATTATGTATGGGTCTTGAACCAGCATTTTACGTTGACTCAGGACCACCAACATATGCATTTAATCCATGTGGTCATATGGCGACGGAAAAAACAGTCAAGTTAGTTAAATTTTCGGTTACTAAAATATTTTTGACCACGAATTACCGCAATGCACAATAATATATGAAATAACTTTTATAATTAAAATTCTTATTTTAGATATTGGGCAAATGTAGATATACCACATGGTACAAATGGATTTCAAGCAGTTTGTCCATTTTGTGCAACGCCGTTAGAAGGTGCTCCTGGCTATATAAAATTAATTTTCCAAGATAATTTAGATTAAAATAATTATAAATATTAGATTGTAGAAATATTAAAAAAGATATATATATATATATATGTATATATATATATATATATATATATATATATATATAAATAAGTATGTGTTACTGCAAAAATGGCTATAATGTGAAATTTATTTTTCAAGATGCTTTATATTTTGTTTAACATATCTTAGTATGTGTGTTTACAAATTCACATTTCTATTTTTTAAATTACCACAAACTATTTAAAATAATATGTATGTTGGAATTTGAAACAAAAAGTATTAGTGAAAATTTTGAACTTTTGGTTCTTAAAATCTACATTTAGAAATATTTGTGTTTTTTGAAAAAATAACAAAATAAAAATATGTTTTTTGTGGTATTGCAAAAATTTTTTTGTACACTAAGAAAAAAAATATTTATTAAAAAAATATTACTTTTGCAATGAAATGGTTTTGATTTTTCAATTTTTCATTCTATTGATTGCGAATCACTTATAGTGTGTACATTTTGCGAATAATTTGTAACTGTATACAAATTACATTATTTTCAATCTAATTAAAGAAAAAAATATCGAAACTTCAGATAAATTTAATCGCTTTTCCTGTGACATATGCATATATATATATATATATATATATATATATTTATATATATATGAATATAATATAAGTACACGAAAACTAATAATAAATAAAAATCGAACTTAATTTGTCAAAACAAAAAAAGGTCTATCCAAATAGGAGTAAACACAAACTTATGTAATACATATATGTATGCGTAAATATATATATAAATAAATATATAAATAAAAATATTATTTATTTATATATATATGTAAATTTAATATGTATATCCTTTTTATTTCCTTAATGTATAATGTATAAAGTAAGTTCAGAAACAAAGTTTGTCTTGCGGAAAAAAACAGAAAACAAAATATGTATGAAACAAATAGTATTCTTTAAAACTGTTTGTTTAAAACAATTAAGTAATATACGAATGTATACTCGTACATCTTAGCAAAATATTAAAATTATATTGAATGTAATGAACAATGTCGATTTACTATTTTGACTCAATAATATATTAATACACACACACTTTACAAAAGTATTAAAAACTAAAACACGAAATAAAACTACAAAACAAATAAAACATAATGCTAAATACATAAATATTTACTGTGCTATAAAAATATAACTTGAGTCCTCCTTCAACATTATCAAGTAAATTTTTAACATTTTGTTATTCTTAAATGCAACCAAATCTATTGGCCTATACAAAATTGTGTTGCTTTTGTAATAATGCTTATACTAAAGATATAAAATCATGCTTTAAAATTTTCTTTTGATGTAAAAAATGTACAATTATATACAATATAACCAAATTTTTGTTAAGAAAATTATGGGGTCTTTAAGAAAATTTTATTTTATTAAGTTTTATTTTTGCCTTCTGTCATTCAATTCTAAAAGTGTTTAGTTAATTTTTGAGAAAGTAATTTGTTTCAAATTCTGTTATTTTGTTATTATGGAAAAGGAACAAAACATTTACTTACCATTATATAGATAATTTTTACACAACAATTGGTACTTATAGTATTTAAGTAGTTAACCAACGAAATTAATATTTTTTCCTATTAGATGAATAAATTATTAAAGGTTATTTAAACATTTTTGCAAAATGTTTAAATTAAAAGTTTAATTTTTTTTATGATTTTAAACTATTAAGAACCAACTTGATTGTTAATGTTTTTTGAAAATGATATCGGGCTTTATGCATTTACATTTATTTTATTATTTTAATTTACATTTTAGCCATTTATTAGGTAATATAAATTTTTTTATCTGTTCAAAACTATTATTCGTAATCATTCATCAGGTATTCAAAACTGCAAAATTTCACTGTGTAAAAATGAATATCAGTCATTGAAAATTAAATAAAAAATTATTTTGTTGTGGATAAATAATTTCGAAAAGATTGGCGTTTGAGTTGCATTTAAAATAAAATCTGTTGGAAATTTGAACAAGAAATCGTGAGAACCTACAAAAGAAAAACTTTTTATTATCAATTAAATGTAAAAACTATAATTATAAAAAACAATGTCGAAAAACAATTAAACAAATGTTTATGTATAAAATATATTTTGATTAAAAATGTTATAACACATAAAATAGTTATTAAGAGATAATTTCGAGATTTATCTAAAAACCTTATTTGATTTTATTTTAATTAAAAACGAAACAAAAAAAAGATTGTGTATTTAACTCTTTCCATTCGAAATTTGTTTTATTTTATACCAAATATAGCAAAATCTATCGAAAATTATTCTAGTTAATTTTAAAAGTCTTTTCCTAATTTGCATTGTTTACTTTGCACTTTTAACTTTGTAATTATTATAGGTAAAATATTTTTTTTTTGCATTTATAAATTGATAATTGTATCATAAAGAATTATTTTGATTTTTTAATGTTGTATTATAAAATAATCTATATTATTGTATTATATTATCTTTTATAATAGACAGAAAAATTAAAGAAGCAAGTATATTGTACATACATATACATTTTTTAGAGTCATATTGGTTATATTGTCTTTTTCTTAGTACTATTCTACTTCTAGCTAATTTATATCTATATGCATAACTAAAATTAAATATTTTGTTAATAATTTTAATTTTTAAGAATATTTTAAAACTATAAACCATTTTCTGGTAGTCGTATCGCATGCAATTACCGCATAAAATAACACCATCAAATCTAAATGATATTGTGGTAGTCGTAGAAGAAGTTGAAATGGAACTAACTTCGACATGATGGCAACTATCAAAATCACGTGTGATGTAAAACTTTTTATATAACGTGATAGTCACTTTTTGTCACCTCAATATTTGCATTCGACATGCCATAACGCGATGGTGTTTCAGCTTAAATGTATCAACAACCTGAAAAAATTGGCAAAGTTATTAGTTGAAAAAGATGTTAAGTTAATTTTACAAAAAATTTTACTTTAATAATTTATATTGATTATTAGTTTTTTTTTTATTTTACAAAAGAAAAAGAATATAAATTCGAAGCAATTTGAGCTTCCAAGAAAATTACTGGGATTGCCAAATATTTTACGGAATAATTTAGAAATATAAAAAAAAAAAATATGTTTTACTTTAATATTTAAATATATGATAAATTCTAAAGCTGTAGGAACCCACTAGGGATTTGAAAAATTGCTAGCTATAGCTTTAAAACTTTCTTTCCTTTTGCTAATATGCAAATGACCTAAATAATTACAAAATATTATCATTCTATTTTGAATTTTTTTTGTGACATCACGTCAGATGATAGTGTTACCAACATTAAAACATTTTTCATCGCCCAAGCAGACATGTTTACCAGAAGGGCTTATTTGAAATGACGTGAAATGATAGATTTTTTCATAACGTCGGTGACGCGACTAACAGAGTATGTGGGAGTATATCTATTCGTTCTTGTAAATAAGTATCTATGTACTTTGAATTTTTTGAGAAATTTTATTTAATATTGAAAAACATTTTTTAATATACATAATTATTGTCATACTTCAACACAGAAAATAATTAATTAATGCTCACTATAATAATGACTGCAATATTATTATGTACATAAATAAATATATGATTTACAATTTAATATGATGGTGTGCTTTTTAACTTAAAAACTCAATATGTATTATTTTTATTTTTATATACATGTATAATATATCATTTCGTCAGTTTGTATTTGATTTTTTAAAGTTCTTAGTAGGAAATTTTTTATGTTAATTCAATATGTAATTTAAGATGAAATATTTCTTTAGAGATGTTTAAGAGATTATATAAAAGTGATGTCATTATTTATTGTTTAAAATAATATTTCGTTTATTAGCATTGGATCATTTAATTCATTAAACATTATACAACATCACTTCATTTCAAATAATTTTATTTCGATTTGTTAAAAATTTAATAATAGAATTTTTATTTTTTTTATCAATTTAATTATCCTTCCAATTTGTAAAATTTTTATATTTTAATTTTACTCTTTTTGTGCATATAACATGTTTTAGTTAATTTTAATATATATATATATATATATATATATATATATATATATATATATATATATATATATATATATATATATATACATATATATTGCATTTTAATTTTGATTTCTTATTATTTTATATATATATAATGTAATTTTAATTGGTTTAAACTAAGTGTTTAAAAGAAAAACAAAATGAATGAAATTATAGACTTTTTAGTTTAGTCTTTTAAGTTATAATTAATTTAACTTAAATTTATTTGTATATCTATATATAACACTTACATATATATATTTATACATGTATATAAGTATTAGAAATAAAAACTGAAAAAAGAGAAAACAAATCAGGAATGGAAATGAAATAAATAAATTTTAGTTTAGAAATTATAAAAATTAAATACAAATTAAAAAAGAAAAACCATTATACACTGGAAAATAAAACAAAAAAGAATTTCATGAATAAACATGTTGCTAAAGAAATAAACAAATAAAAAGTATAAACTAATATTTTTCATTTGTATTCACAAACTTCAAGAGGAAACTTTTATTTTTTTTACAAAGTACACATATTTTATGAATCTAAGATACAAATACACTTTCAGTGATATATTTACAATAAAAATACACCTTTTCGAGAGTTTCCCGTAATAACAATATTTCGAAAATACAACATTTTTTTTAAAATCTAGTTGAGAAGCTTTATTTCTTGAGATTTTTTCTGGTGTAAATTTTTTAATTTGCTTATATCTGGTTCCATAAAAATTAGAATTTTTGCCACTGCTTAAGCTACTTAGAAACATGTGACGGTTTCATTAGGTGGAAACACGTTTCTGGTTTTTAGCACCCATAAAATAACTTTTATACCCTTATTATTATCGGTGAAATGAATGGCTAGGCGAATCGAATGACATTTTAAATTTTTTTTGCTTTTTTGCAATAAAAATTGAATTTTCTTATCACTTTAGCAATGTGGAGTTGGTTCTCCGTTAATATAATTAAATGCTCGAATTGTTTTGGCTAGTTTTTTCAGCCTTAAATTAATATTAAACACTCAATATTTTTTAACAATAATTTGTAGAGTTTTATGAATTTACTTAACAGATTGTGTAGATTTTTCCATTATGATTGATATAGTAGAATCAAAAACCATATATTTGCAAATTAATTATTCACGGATATAAATCATATAATTTGAAATATGAGTGATGAATCACTCACAAAGCGTTTTCTCTATTTCA